GGGAGGCCGCAGAGGCCAGGCCTGCGCAGCAGAGGGAGCAACGGCCTCGGAACCCCAGCGGGCCCTCCCTGGCCGGCGGGCTCTACCTGCTACCGGGCCAGGCCGGACGCCCAGGGCCGTGCAGACGTACCTCACGCCCCAGCCGGGTGACCGCCACTCACAGCTGCCGGCCGCGCACGCGCACTTCCGCTTCCTGCTCTGCTCCACTCGGCGGGAGGGGCGGGGTTCCGGCGCGGACGCCCAGGGCTCCGCCCAGTGGTGGACACGTTCAGGGTCTTGTCGAACTTGGATCTTCCTCGTCTTTATTTCCTGCATAAACAAACGATTTAAACCAAAAACCGGTTGGCAACTAGCCAATCCCGACTCATAGCGACCTAATAGGACAGGGTAGAACAGCCCCAAGGGTTTGAAGGCTGTAATCTTTACGGAAGCACACTACCACATATTTCGGAGAATGGCTGGTGGGATCCAACCGCTGACCTTTTGGTTAGCAGCCAACCGCTTAACCACTGCGAATACATAGGAATCAAATTGACTACATCTGTGGAAAGAAATGATGGAAAAGCTCAGTATCATCAGTCAGAATAAGGCCGGGGGCAGACTATAAAACAGACCACCAATTGGCCTATGCAAGTTCAAGTTAAAGGTGAAGAAGATTAGAACAAGTCCATGAGAGCCAAAGTATGACTTGAGTATATTCCATCTGAATGTAGAGACCACCTCAAAAGTAGATTTGACGCTTTAAACACTAATGACCAAAGACCAAATGAGTTGTGGGGTGACATCAACGAACTCCTACATGAAGAAGACAAAAGGTCACTAAAAAGACAGGAAAGAAAGAAAAAGACCAAAATAGATGTCAGAAGAGACTCTGAATTTTTCTCTTGAATGGAGACTAGCCAAAGAGAAAGGAAGAAATGATGAAATAAAACAGCCCAACAGAAGATTTCATTAAGCAGTTCGAGAAGACAAAGCAAAGTGGTATAATCAAATGTACAAAGACCTAGAGTTGGAAAACCAAAAGGCAAGAACATGCTTGGCATTTATCAAGCTGAAAGAACTGAAGAGAAAATTCAAGCCTCAAGTTAGAATATTAAAAGATTGTTGTTCTTATGTGCCATCGAGGCACTTATTACTTACAGTGAACCTAAGTACAACAGAAAGAAACAATGCACAGTCCTTCGCCATCCTCACAATCATTATTATACTTGAGCCCATTGTTGTGGCCGCTGTCTCAATCCATCTCGTTCCTCTTTTTCACTGATCCTCTATTTTACCACGCATCATGTCCTTCTCCATGGACTGGTCCCTCCTGATAACATGTCCAAAGAATGTGAGCGAAGTCACACCATCCTTGTTTCTATTGAAGAATGCTATGTGCAAAACATTGAAAAACACAGGAAGCATCAAAAGAAAATAGAAAGTATACACAGAGTTACCGTACCAAAAAGAATTGGTTGACGTACAAGCATTTCAGAAGGTAGCATATGATCAAGACCAACGGTACTGAAGGAAGGAGTCTAAGCTGCACTGACTGCATTGGTGAAAAACAACACTCCAAGAATTGACGGAATCCCAATTGAGATGGTTCAACAAACAGATATAGCTCTGGAAGCACTCACTTTTCTATGCCAAGGAATTTGGAAGACAGCTACCTGGCCAACCGAGTGGAAGAGATCCATATTTGTGCCTATTCCAAATAAAGGTGATGCAACAGAATGCAGAAATTATCAAACAATATCATTAACATAACACACAACTAAAATTTTGCTGAAGATCATTCAAAAGGGGTTGCAGGAGTACATTTACCGGGAAATGCCAAAAATTCAAGCCAGATTCAAAAGAGGACATGAAACAAGGGTATCATTGCTGATGTTAGATTTATCTTGGCTGAAACCACCGAATACCACAAAGAGGTTTACATGTGTTTTATTGATTATGGAAAGGCATTTGACTGTGTGGATTATAACAAATTATGGATAACATTGCAAAGAATGGGAATTCCAGAGCACTTAATTGTGCTCAGGTAGAACCTATACATAGACCAAGAGGCAGCCATTCTAAAAGAACAAGGGACTCCTGTGTGGTTATAAATCAGGAACGGTGTGCATCAGGGTTGTATCCTTTCACCATACTTAATCTGTATGATGAGCAAATAATTAGGCAGGCTGGACTGTATGAAGAAGAACACAGCATCACCTGTCATATACAGATGACATAGACTTTCTTGTTGAAAGTGAAGACGACTTAAAACACTTACTGATAAAGATCAAAGACTTCAGCCTTCAGTATGGATTATCCCTTGACATAAGGAAAACAAAAATACTGACAACAGGACCACTAAGCATGATAAACAGAGAAAAGATTGAAGTTGTCAAGCAGTTCATTTTATTGGATCCACAATCAATGCCCATGGAAACAGCAGTCAAAAAATCAAACTATGCATACATTGGGCAAATCTGTGGCAAAAGAGCTGTTTAAAGTGTTAAAAAAAAAAAAAAAAGATGACACCTTAAGGACTGACGTGCGCCTGACCCAAGCCATTGTGTTTTCAATCACCTCATATGCATGCAAAAG